GAGTCTATGATAGTGTTGAGTCTGTGGGCAATCGTAATGACAGTACAATATCTAAACTTTTCTCTAATAGTCCTCTGAATGAGAGCATCGGTTCTGTGGTCGACATTAGCGGTCGCCTCATCCAAGACTAGGACCCTATTGTCTCGCAGTATAGCTCTGGCCAGACATACCAGTTGTCTCTGACCTACACTGAAATTACTGCCCCCTTCGGTCACCAGTCCGTCCAACTGTCCGGGAAGTTGGACCACAGACTCCTTGAGCTGCACCTCTTCCAGTGCGGCCCAGAGTTCATCGTCCGGGTGATCACCAAACGGATCCAAATTCTTTCGGACCGAACCCGTGAAGAGCACCGGTTCCTGAGGTATAATAGATATTTGACGCCTCAAGTCGTGTAAACCAATCGACTGAATATCGACGCCATCGATGAGTATCTGTCCCTCGGGTTCGTTCATCCGAAAGAGGGCTGATATGACGGACGACTTTCCAGCGCCGGTTCGGCCGACGACTCCCACCTTTTCTCCTCCTTTTAGGACACAATTGATTCCTTTGAGGACTTTATTCGGCGATTCGTTGTACTGAAGGCTCATGTCTTTGAACTCAATTTCACCGGTTTGTGGCCATTCGGGCACTGGTTTCCTGTCGGGCCGGGACTCCAACTCTGCCTCGGGTTTGATGTGCGAGTACTCAAGCATTCGCTCGACTGCTGTCATATAGGACTCGAGATCTGCTGAACATTTGACTCCGTATTGAGTCATTCCCGTCAGTGTTAGGGCTGAAGATAGGGCGAGACCGGCGTCACCACCCGGAAGGTCTATCGGGTAACCAATAGATTTAAAATCAAATACATAAATATAATGATAGACAGGGCTGTCATACCGTCGTAAAACATAATGAAAGCGACGACAGCACTGATGTAGAAGACGCAGATCCAGTCCATGAGAATACCAAAGGCCCGGGAGGTGCAGATGAAGAGGAAGAAAGTGGCCGTATTGTCGTTCTGGTGTCTCTCAAACTGGGTCTCAAACATATGTTGGGCACCAAATGCCCGCACAGTTGACAGACCCGATAGGGTTGTGTTCAGATGAGAGTAGACTGGACTCCGAGCTATAGATAATTGAAATCAATTACAATTCATAAAACTTCTTAAACTATAATTTAGTAAATCTCGTACACAATCCCTCCAAACGTTTGATATCTCTGGCGGATCTGATGTAGAAATATCTGCACATAAACACTACTATACAGAGGAATATCGCCGGGAATACTAAAAACCAACTGACGATTGCGTTTACAATTAAGGTTCCGATGACCAGAGATAATGTCTACATATCCATCAAAAAATGTTACGATATATTAAAATGTGGGTAACTTTCGATATATCAAATATTATTTATTAAAAATTACAAACCATTTGTAAATCAAAAGCAGTTGCAGGTAGGAGTTCATCAACAATACCGGTGTCTTTTGTGAACCTATTCAATATACGGCCTAAAAATCAAATGTAAGAATATGATCATAATTTTGTTTTGATTTCCTATTAAACAATTGTTTACCAATGGGTGAGCTATCAAACACATGTATGGGTGCCCGCAATAACGAGTAGAATATTCTGTTGTGAAGATTGACTGACGAGCGCATACACATCACGAAGAAAGATGTGGTGCGGATGAGGGCTGACACCAATAGTCCGCCGATCAGTGCTGAGTATATAATTACATTTAAATTTGTGTCAACGTTCTCATCGTTGTCCACTTCATTGGTCCTAAAAATTAGTTTAAAATTAAATTTTTATTACTGTATTTTAAAATCATTTATTCCAATTGAATGGACTAACCATATGGTAAGCCAGAAGTCGCTGCCCTGGTATAGGGTTTGGGATATAAGTATTGACGAGAATGTGACGAATATAAGGAAAGGTCCGGCGCCTGCCTTCACATAATCCCAATAAATACTCGAATCAATGGATCCAATCATTTTGGTCTCCTGTTTGAGTTTAGGCTCATCCGTTTCAATCACATCCCCGATCTCTTCGTGATCCACTTCAGAGCCGGCAATACTACTGGCCAGGGATGGCGTAAATGAGACGGCTCTTTGCATCCTTCTGTGTTCAATCAATTGATGCATTTTGTCGTTTTTGTTTTCAGTCGGCTTATCATCGTTTAAATACGACATGAAATTAATACCCGACTCTATCAGCTCAGAGTAGGTGCCAAAAGCTATACATTTGCCATCGTTTAACACCATTATCTTATGGGCGTCTCTTAGAAACTGGATCTGATGGGTGACTAATATACGCGCCTTATCTTTCAGGTACTCCACCGCACATCTGAACGCATTAATTGTTTTAATATATGACATAAATTTAGTATATTTTAGGAATACTTTTGAAAGAGATGTTTAGCGACGTGTGCGTCCACTGCGGACAGGGGGTCGTCCAGCAAATAGATGTCCGCGTCGTGGTATAGACATCTTAATTTATAATAAATGAATGAATTCAACGACAATTCTTAATCCCTTAATCCCTTAATCCTTACCGCGCTAACGTAATCCTAGCTTTTTGGCCACCACTTAGAGATACCCCTCGTTCTCCGCAAAGAGTTTTGTCACCGAATGGGAATAGTTTGAAATCCCTGTCCAGAGCGCACACGTGAACTACTTTATTGTATTTCTCTTCATTATATTCAGAACCGAACAGAATATTGTCTCTAACGCTAGATATGAAGGCCCACGACTCTTGTGGGGCATAAGACACCTTTCCCTTCACCTCCATTGATCCCGACGTAACTGTCAACTCATTTAGAATTGACATCAATAGTGAACTCTGTTATCGTGTTTATTGTAAATATATTAGTAAATTTATATGATTCATATTAATCATTTATAAAACTACATACCTTTCCACTACCAACGGATCCTATCACTGCTAACAACTCTCCAGGTTTTACACAAACACTAATATCTTTAAGAGTGGGCTCAAGGATTTCCTATGTTATCCACAAATTTAAAACAATTGCATTAAATCTTAAATTTATGCCAAATATTCAATCAATGAATTCATACATCATTCCAACGAACGCTCATATTCTTAATGAAAACCCCTTTCTCTCTGTCGTCCACCGGTTTAATAGGTTTCTCAACGCTTACTAAAACTCCATTTCCATTCGCTTCCTTCTCTTTCTCTGAGAATACTGACGACATGTATTCAATCGGTTTGTCTGATTCACTGATTTCGTCGAGAACTAAGAAATCCTGTGATAAACAAATCCAATTCAAGTAATTGATTTTGGGATCAAAACAATGGCTACCAATACCTGAATCCGATGACAGGCGACCACCAGTTCAGCAGTGGCTGCGATTCCGGCCGGAAAATGTTTGGTTAATGTGTTTCGCAATGTATTAAAGAAAGCCATTGTCACGAACACCGATTCGGCCGACAGTTTTCCCCCCATATATATAAATGTCACGAAACAGGCGTATAGTATGACACGAGAGGCCACGAAATAAAACGACAAATTGATTGCTTTCAATAGACTCGAGTGTCTGATCCTTTGTATCTCTTTGCTGTCATATCATATGAATATTTTATTAGTACTAAAGTATTTTATTAAATATTATATAATCTATGACTTTTATAATCTATATCTTACAGTCTGGACTCGGCCACCAAATCTTGGAAGGGCTGTTCCCAGGTATACATCTTTATGACTCTCATACCGGATATGATTTCATTCATAATCCTAATCCTAGTGTCAGTCAATTCAGCCGTCTTTCGGCGAACACTCTGAAACAGTCGACCCATAAGTCCCTGGAATGGGATGAATAGGATGATGACTCCCAGTCCCGCAAAACAGGCCCAACTCAAGTGCTCCCACAACAAGAATAATATGACAACCGACTGTATCGGTGCCACAAATAGTGAGTGAACAGTGAATGCAAACTATTTATACAAAAATATTATTAGAAATTGTAATTCATTTACTTTATTAAGAATACAAAACCTCATCGAATCGGTTGACATCATTGGACATCATATTCAGTATTTGGCCGACAGTTGTCTTTCCCATCGCTGAACGACTTAATCTCATAGACTGTCAAGAAATATAGAAATGATTATAAAACGATCAAATGTATGAGGATGATTTTGCAAACCTTTTTGAACATAAGGGCACAACAGGCCACTCTCATCCTCATCCCAGTCTTCATTAGATAAGTGAAGTTGAGGTGATTGAGTGAAACACAACCGGCTGAACACAATACGACTCCCGCGGCATACCCGGCCGCCTCCTCATACGATATGTGCTCCTTCTTCTGGAAATATCTCACGACATAACCCAAGAAGACTGGTTGTGCCACACGGATCACCGCTTCCTATGAATTAAAAATATTTATTAATAATTATTTATAAGTCTATAATTTTAAATCAATTACTTGTATAATAAAGAGCAGAATCCATGGCACGAATTCCAATGAAAATGTCCGAAAGAGAGCCGAAATTAGACTTGGATTTCGTTTTCTCATTTCTTTTACCCATTGTCTTGTTTTCGCAATCAATTTGTTTTATTGGTTATGTTTTTTATATGGTTTTTTAGTGAAATAAATACCGTTCGAGTTTATCGCGGACTTTATCAGCCGTGTCCTTCTTCGCACACTTATATAAATCTTGAAAATCTAGATCTTTTCGATGACCCTCAATGAATATACTCCAGACCCAACTGTAGACATAAAAATATTTTTATTTATCAGTAATTACAATTTTGATATAACAATAGTAAACAAGTAACAGTGAACATCAGTGTAAGTCATATAAATTATACAGTAATAAAATTGTTGAATAAAATAAATAATTATGTGAAGTAAAGTGTAAAACAGTGTTTACAATGCTTCGTAAATAATTTTAAGACTTTAAGACAAATATGAGGCTCGTGTACTTTTGAAATAATTAAATAATCTATAACTTTACCTGAAAGTAATTTTGGACAAAATACTAATTCTATCCCATGGAGAAGGCTTTGTAATGAGTTCGTCAATTTCCATCTAATTATTAGCTAGTAAGTAATAACCTAATATAGTAACTAGTGACAATAAGTAATAGTTATAATTAACTGTTTACTCAAATAATTGAAAGTGACATTTGACAAGAATTGTGGCTACTTTTAAAGGATTCAATTTTGATTTGGAGACAATAATCATATGATAAGCATTTGATATAAAAGATCGGAACCATTGTGCGACAAGAATAGATGCAATAAACTTTTTTAACCTTAACTTTTAAAGTTATAAAACTAATTGTTTTATACTTTTTATTAAATGATTTAATGATATAATTATATATCGGATACAAGAATCAGATATTTTATCGAAGGATATAATAATTGCTACTCTATTCTATCTATAGTAACTATAGCCATGTATAAAATCCTGTTAATTAATGGCCGATGGTATTTTAAATATTCAATATTACTGTAGTTGTTCATTGAGTACAATGGGTGTACATTTTATAACATTTACGGAATTCGTTCACATTGTGTCCAAATGATTTTTTACAAATCAAAACATTTAATTTTTAATATTTATTAATATTCATTTTAAAATTTCACAGTAAATTAGCTTAATTTAAATAACTATTAATTATTATTATTATTTAATTCTAAGCGTGTGTAACGAGTAATAAATTTATATAATCTGCTAACTTAAAAGATATTTACAGTAATACAATAAATAATGAAAAATCTTAAATGAATAAAATTTAGTTTAATTAATTACAATAAATTTCACTTTGGTATACTGAAGTACAGTATTAACTCACTCATATGAAACAAACAGTGCACAAGGTGAAATAAATTCCAAGTATTCTTCCAGCATTGATTTCTCATAAAATCTTTTGTTAAAAACAAGTTTACGATATATTTTATTAATAATTACGGTATTATTTATCTTACACTAAATGATAAAACCAAAAATACCTAATCATGTAATAACAATAAATTTAATTACAGATATTTTATCTATTTATTACTAAGTGTCGATAAAATCTTCATCTAAAAAATTAAGCAATATGCGTGAAATTGTTTTCTAACCCAATATAAAGTGCAATTACTGATTATAAAATTATTACTGTACTTCATAATAAATTAGAAATAATAGAAATCAATTCTATAGAAATTTATAATCAAATTTATTTCCAATTAATCATACAATATTTACTCATTATAATAATACTTTAATTATGCAGATATTAATCACACAAAAATATATCATGTTTATCAAAATTGCATCAAATAAATAATTTAAAGAATTAACAAATTAAATTTTAATATCATATTTTTTAAAAATTAAAACTATCTGTATAAAAGTAGTCAAACAATTGATATAAATATTGTAATGCACAAAATATACTTTTAATTTAATTTAAATAGTCTTTCAAATTATTGCCACACAACTGATCCACTCATTGATGAGTACAATAAGAAACAAGTGGACCATAAGGTGAGGGGACATGGATTGCCATATTAATGGCCCAATTGTGACAATTATCACCAAAATTTGTGTTTTACAAACACATGAAGAATAGCCAGTCGTCCAGACATGAGATCAGTTGTTACACGGATTCACACATATCTCTAATCACTAAGAGATAGCGATAAGAGATTTGACACAAAGATCTCCATTGAAAGCAATTTCTCCCGGAAATCTCCCGGGAGTTTCTATGTAAACTAATGAAAGCTCCCGTTTATGAACTTTTTGATTTGGCAGCCCTACATTCAAGTGGTATGGGTTTATATAAATCTATATATCGTCTCAACTTTATATTGAAGTCAATATTACTTATGTATTATTCAATTCAGTATTTGTTAACAATATTGGTTTAAGTATTGGAATAAAACTTAAGGTTAGTAATGCTATTACATTCCCTTTCACCCTATCATTCAAAATATTTTCCTATTTTAATAGTTATTGTCAGTAATGGAGAGAATAGGTGTGAAAAGGATTGGTTTTATTGTTGGAAACTATTCATTATAAACCAATTCAAGGGATACGAGGTATGCAATAATAATATACAAACTCAATAAATTATAATTGTATTCTTTACAGATAAACTCGCTCATATCACTATTATTTATGAAAGTTTGTGAATAAGTTAATTATGAAATTAATATGCGTTGTATTTTGTTTAATTTTTAAAATACATTAAATATGAATATTTTATTTTTACAATACATATACTGTATGTATGTTATGGCACATATTTTATTGATATTCTACTGTAATTATTATATAGTCTACTGTATTTGAACTCATAATAAAAAATAATATAGATTTATATAAACCCATACCACTTGAATGTAGGGCTGCCAAATCAAAAAGTTCATAAACGGGAGCTTTCATTAGTTTACATAGAAACTCCCGGGAGATTTCCGGGAGATGTTTATAATTTATAAATTATAAAGAATTATTCAAAATTTTTCATAGATTTTTAACCATATAATTTCTTACTATAGAGTTGAATGTTGACATTTTCTTTGAATTTGATATTAGACCTTTGGATATAATTGAATAAAATTATAAATTAATTAAATTATATGCCTAATTAACCCATTAATTAACGAATAAAACTTATTCTAAATTTCTTGACACAGTTTAAATTAATTATATTTAGCTTATCTTAAATTTTAACATTTTTAATATAAAAATAGTTCTTAATAGAAATATTCTCAATTATGCTCAATATATATTTTAAGTGTGAATGTATAAATAATTAAATTTAAAATTAATCACTAATTAATTAAGAAAACACATTACATGGAAAAATAATTTTAGATAATATGTTTTAATATGTTTATATACATTTTCATTAAATCACAACTTTTATTTGTGTATAAATGTCTGAATCTTTGTCCGGGAGAAATCAATCTCAAGGTAGACAGTCAACCGGGAGACGGGAGACATACTCCAATCCCGAGAGACTCCCGGTGATACCGGGAGGTTTGGTAGCCCTACTTGAATGGCGTGTATGGGGTGCTGACAGTCAACTGTCTTATTTGATATAAAATTGCATACAGGTATATCATTAATTATATTGATTTTGATGTATTGACAGTAAAAATACACCAATAATTCAATGCCAAGTTATTTTGGTATATAAAATAGTTCTTAATATTGATTTAAATACTACTTAATTATAAAATAAATGTACATTTAGACAAATAAAATTTTATTTTCATTTTCATGTCTAATATATTCACAATGATAATGGCTAATAGTTTTGATT